CTAAGTTTTTATTTGGACTCTGAACAGGCATTGCTGAAAATCAAAGGACAAAATTACATCGATGATATCCATTGCAAAAAATATATATAATTTTCTTCATGTTAAGAAATCATCAGCAAAATTAATGAGGATGGGCACTTAGGAGAGTCCGTTTATATCAGTGAAGTTTTATTCCTTTTTAGAAATTCATTTTACAGAAATTATCTGAAGTATGATTATGCACACTGACCTTGGAACTGTATTTCATAGCAAGTTTAAATTCCACTTAAAATCCAATAGACCAAAGAAAAAAATCAACAAGGGTTTAAGTAGAAAATTATAAAACCATCCATGCTGAAGTTTATGATAAAGTCTATGAGTGATTTAAATATATAGTATTTTAATGAAATACGTGTGGTGTAATATTCCCCATAAAAGAGAAAATGCACACCAATTCCCAGAAAGAGTTTTAGATTCAGATGCTATGTAAGGCACATCCCTATTCTGTCATTTTCCCTGTCTAAACATATTCTCTGAATAAACAGTCCATAATGTGAAAATGGAAGCAGGAGGGAAATCTCTCGTGTGTTTCTGTTGTCATGACACAAAAGAACAATTACCTGGACAGCTTAATTGGCCCTTTCCTGTACCCATTGGAAGGTATTTAAGGGATTCACCAGTGAGAGCAGGTTTACTTATCATAGAGAGCCAGTGACACTGTAGACAAAGCAGAGGAGAAAGGTTCTCTTACAAGAAAGTACCTTGGAAGACTGTTGACAACATGCAATGTACTTCCCTGGGAGGTAAGGTTTGGGGTTATGGGCCAAGTGTATACAACTAGGTTTCCAATGTTTCTATTGGCTAAATAGTCATCAGTGGTCCACCTTTCTCACACACACCTTTGTGAGACTTGTGAGTAGCAGCAACACAGGTGGCTTGGTGACTTGACTCCTGCCTTGGAACCTCCCTTCTCCAACTTCCTCAAGCTTCCTATAAGAGGCTAACTGTCCTCTCTCTGTGCCTTCAGGATGCTCAGAGCTCAGATTCTTTTTACCTAGATGGAAATAGTTCCCCTATTGAGTTTGATGCAAAAACATGCAGGTAAGTGAATATCTTGAATTTTGGAATTGGCCATTGTCTGATGCAGTATTGGGTATGGAACTCTTGGGGATCCTCTTACCTCAGCCTCCCAAGTGCAGGGATGTTAGACATGAACAACCACACCAAGAGGCATATGAAATATTTGAAATATGTGAAATTTATCCTCACTCTGTTCACCCTTACTCCTTCCATCTTACCTAACAGTACTCTGTTTTACTTTCACTTAACCCATTTTCTTTCAAACTCTACAACTTTGAGGAAACGTGCTACTTGTCTTCCTGAGTGGGGCTTATTTTGCTTATAATGATAAGTCTCGCATTCCATCCATTTTGTTTCAAATGACATAAGTTCACTCTTTATAAAGGCTTGATAATACTTTTATATGTGCACCACAGTTTATTTATCCATTCTTCTGTTGATGGACACCTAGGCTGGTTTTATATTTTGGCTACTGAGTATTATGCCACAACACACATGAATGTGCAGATATCTCTGAGGCATTCTGCCTGTAAGTCTTTCGGGTATCTACTGATGAATGGGTCAGTTCTATTTTATTTTAGGAACTTTCATAAACATAGATGTCATTGCTACATCAGGGGATACCAATGAATTACGTCTCCTTGTATTGTTCCCCTCTGTAGTTACCCCTTCCTTGCCCATGGGACTCGATTTGGCCAGGGAAATAACAGCAAATTCATTGCAAGCAGTGGTTTAATGAGTTCTTGCTGTTGCAGCTTGGTATCTTATGCTCTTGAGGTGATGTGCAGAATGCAACTTGGAAGATTTGGTGGAGAGAGGGTTGTAGCTATTGTAGGCACATTAGGCACGGCCCAAAACAAGTAAGCCAGTTACCTTGAACAGCCCCATCTGACACTCTGCATGAACATCTGAGTACACTGTGATGACAAAAGGACCCAAGCCAGGGCAGCTGGCCAACCACTCAGATGATGCAGAGAATCATGAAAATGGTAAGTCCCTGTTGTTCTCGGCAAAACAGTTTGAGCTGATTTTATGTATTTGGTGCTAAAGATATATTGTTTTTTACAAAAATTTATTCTGGACCTGAAAGTGTGGTTTAACTCTAATGGAAAAACTCCTAAAAATAAAATAAGAACAATGAGATTCTTACTGTACCAGAAAAACATGTGAGGGCCATGGGAGTTCAAAAAAGGAGCTCTGTATTCTTACCAGGAAAAGCTTTTTCTACTGTGCACCCTCCATGTTTCCCACACTGCATCAAACTGTGTACTTCTTTTGCTTTCTTTTCTGAGAAGCAGTAGTGAACTGTTCCAGCGACCCTGTGAAGTATCTTCCTTGCAGGGCTCCTGAATGACAGTCCTACAGTATGCCTTGCAGGTGTTAGACATTTAACAAATACCAGTATCTGTGAAACAATAGAGACACATTTTTCTGGGATTTGCCATTGAACAAAAATGAATGTAAACCCTTATGCACAAAGGATTTTAAGCTTTATTTAAGAAGTGTACCACTTTATTATACTAACAGAAAGAAAAAGTGGGTGAAGCCTTGGCTCTGCAAACATTTGTCTGCCATGAATTTCCACGGTAAAAACATCCAAGGAGCAATAGTTTTGCCCCTCAACATGGCAGTTTGTGTTTCTGTCGCCGGAACCCCTCTGACATCACAGGTGAGCCCACAGTATGGATGGTGTTTGGGCCACTTACAGCCTGAAAGTCCAGGGCAGACACCATGTTTATTGTAGTACCCAGGCATAGGCGTGGTGTTGAATGGACAATAGGCAGTGCAAACAGGGCACAAAAGTAATTAAATAAAAATAGCTACAGGGAGGTGTGGCTTACTTTTTCAGGTCAATAGGCTTTCTTTGCTCCAGGGACAGGGTGCTTTACCTCACCATCCTCAGCATCTAAGTAATTTCATGTTGTCTTCTTCAGTGAACTAGGAAAGTGTATTATAATGCACACTTTTGTTTTTTTTATTAAAATCTCTCTCTTTTTTAGTTAAAAAGCTATCAAGGAGGCAAACAACCTCAAAACATTCTCTAAAGTCTCAAAAAAGTCATCCTAGAGATTCAGAATCTCCAGAACACAGGTCTCCTGAGAAGAGACATGGAAAATTATACTTCAGTTGTATTTGCAAAGAATATAATTTTTAACTTATTGGAATATAAACTCATTATCAATTCTGCTGATGCACTTTTTCCTACATCATTTGAATATATGTATAGATATGATTCACTTATTCTATAAGTATCGTCTGGATCAGGTAGGTTGATCATTGATACTGGGACAGTACAATTTCCTCCCTCCAGATTCTTACAGAATCTTCTTTGCATGTTAAAATCACACTGAAAATGCAGAGTATAAGATCATGAGTCCACCAGTGTATTCTCCTGCCATGACTGTAGCTCTTTTAAGCATCAAGAAGTGTCTTGAAGGCAAGGAGAATGAATACTGTTACCTGATTTTGTTATCTGAAGGCTCAGAGAAGGGAGAACAATGGAGGGATGCACTGTGGGTGCAGCATACCAGTGCTGGGACTTACATGTGTCCTGGAGGTCTCAGTCCTAATATTGGTACTTTATTGAAAAATTAGAGTTATCTCTTTTGTAGCTTTAATTAGCAACAAGTCAGCAAGCTATTTCTTCCCAAGTTAATGAATAATTTAGTAAAAGTCTCTTTTTATTCTCTATTATGTACTGATTATAAAAATCCTTTTTGAAGGCATAGATAGGAGAATCATTGCAATGACCTAGTGCAGATAACATGACAAGATATTTACCAGTTACATGTTATATAATTTACTAATAAAATATCATTATAAGTAATTAGAAAATACATTTTAGGATTGAACAGATGGCACATAACTGGAAGATTAAAATTATACTAAAGGAGATATTGTAAATGACTCATAACAGGTAGCTTTATTCAGTGGAAGAACTTTCAATGAATTGTTTTGGGATCTATGATAATCAACTTGACAATACAAAACCACTATAATAGCTCACATTCTGTATTAAAGAGCCTAGAAATATTAAGTGTAAATACAAAAACTAAAGTTTTTTTTAAATCTAAAGTATTAAAAAAATTTAAGTAAGAGTCTTATTGGATTATGTAAATAAATCTTTTTTAGCATAACACCTAGGCCAGAACCATAAATAAAAATTGACTATGTGAACATAAATAAAACTATGTGGTAAAATGAGGCTTCAACAATATTGGTAACAAATTATGAACTTAGAAAATAATTGTCACATAGGAGAGGTCAAGAATTACAATACTTTACATAGTTTCTACAAATCAATACTGTACAACCTGATAGGAAAATGTACAAAAGACATATAAACAAACTACTAAACTAAACACAAATTAAAACCAAAGAAATCATTTTTTACCTGTAAGATTGTCTACAACTAACAATTAAGACTAACTAAAAATTATGGGTAATTTTGATAATGGCTTCATATTATCAACAGATACTGTCATGAAAAGAATCAAAAGAACAAAATGAAAATAGAGCTTTGGAAATTAGGAAGGTAAGAAGGGTTGATGGAAGGGGAGAAGATGGAAAAAGGAAAGATGTATTATGTACACATACAGATCCCCTATGATGAATGTGATCATTATATACTACAAAGATGTACTAAAATAATCCTGATTATTAGTGCAACTTAGTACCAACTTGAGGCAAACCTTGGCAGTATACCAATCTGCCATTGAGTTGCTCATTAACTCAACCCAAACTCAAATGATCTGTGTATGTATGTGTAAAAAGAATAAAAAATATTAAAGTAGGTGGGATATGAGATTTCCAACAGTTTTCAAAATGGTTTTTATATTTTTAAAATACTGTTAACATTAGCTTGACTGTGGGTAGTTTTTGTCTAAACCTATGAAACTATATTCAAAACAAGGTAATTTTATAGTATTAAAAGAGTCCATTTTGAACCCAAATACCTTTCTGCAGATGTGAGATACTCCAAGATAATGACTGGAGAAAGGATTAATACCACAGTCACCAAGTTCATCCTTTTAGGATTCTCAGAGTTTCCCAAGCTCAGCATCATCCTTTTTGTAGTTTTCTTGGGGACCTACCTCTCCACAGTGCTGTGGAACCTGGGACTCATAGTCCTGATTAGGACGGACTCCTGCTTACACACACCCATGTACTTCTTCCTCAGCAACTTGTCCTTCTTGGATTTCTGTTATGTTACCTCGACAACCCCCAGGATGCTCTCAGACTTCTTCCAGAAGCCTAAACCCATCTCCTCTATGGGGTGCATCACACAGTACTTCTTCTTCTCCAGCCTGGGTCTGTCTGAGTGCTGTCTCCTGACAGCCATGGCCTATGATCGCTACGTGGCCATTTGTAACCCCCTGCTCTACATGGCCATCATGTCCCCCACTGTCTGTGTGTGGATGGTGGTCGGAGCCTACATGACCGGATCCTCAGGCTCCCTGATCCAAATGTGTGCTTTACTTCAGCTCAATTTCTGTGGGCCGAACATTGTCAATCACTTCTTTTGTGACCTTCCTCAATTATTAGTCCTATCCTGCTCTGAAACCTTTTTCCTGCAAGCCACGAGGTTTGTGATTGCTGTGATTTTTGGTGTGACATCTCTTTTAGTTATCGTGGTCTCCTATGCTTACATTGTTGGTAGCATGGTGAAGATTAGCTCAGTGGAAGGCAGGTCCAAAGCCTTCAACACCTGTGCTTCTCACCTGACAGTGATCACCCTATTCTTTGGATCAGGACTTTTTGTCTATATGCATCCCATCTCTGGTAATTTTCTGGGCTATGACAAGATGGCATCAGTTTTCTATACCATGGTGATTCCCATGTTGAACCCTTTGATTTATTGTCTGAGGAACAAGGAAATCAAAGATGCTTTTAAGAGATGGAAGAAGAAGAGAGTGTTTTTCCATTGTCACTGCTAATTAAAGGTCTAGTAGGCTATGAACCCTGCGGACCACTGCTGTACTTCAAAGGGTAAATATGTGTGATGTGATTCAGCCTCCCTGACTCTGGGACAGGACCCACCCAATTCTAAGACTGGTTCAGCATCATGCAGATCTCTTGGCTCCTTTCAGCCTTGACAAGTGACTCAGTTCTACATCAACCTCACAAAGCAGCTGTCATGTTAGTTTTTATAAAGTGGCAACATTCAGTTCTTCAGTTTTGATACCTTATACATTCTTTTCCAACTTCAGCCTGCAGATCGAGGAGAATGGGGGTAAGCATGAGATGGTGATCTGTGTCAGGTACCATATCACAGCATTTTAAGGACTGCTTTGTCTCAGACTTCAAGCCTTTAGGCTGCCTAGGCAAATTCCAACTGATTGCAGTGGGAATGTGGAGAGAAGTGTTTTTATCTTATTTTACTTTATTTTATTTTATTTTATTTTATTTTTTGAGAGAAGGTCTTGCTATGTAGTTCAGTCAGAACTTGAACTAACTGTGTAGCCCAGACTGTCCTCCAACACATGGCAATCCTTCTGCCTTAGCCTCTCAAGTGCTGGGATTCTAGTCATGTGCCACCATGTCTGTAAGTATAATTTTAGACTTGATCCAACGTCTTTGCCAAAGCAATATATGTCAGGACTTGGATTTCTAATATTTTATTTTTTAGAACTTAAGGATCAATTGTTTGTAAATAAATGGACAAAGAGATTTCTATTGGACAGTCTTTATCTTGGAAAACAGAAAGATAAAATAATATTTCAGACTACCATATTACTATGCATCACAAAAGTTACATATATTTCTTTTTTCCTTTTTTTGCTGTTTAGATTTTTCTTTTTGAGATGAGGTCTCACTATATGGTTTATGGTGGTCTTGAATTCACTATGTAGCCCAGCTGGCTTCAAATTCGTGACACTTCTCCTGCCTTAGCCTCCTCAGTGCGGCAATTAGAGGTGTGTGCTACCATTCCGAGTAGTATGAAAAAGTTACTATGGATGACAGGATAGTATAGCTGGTTGCTAAACAATGAAAGATATTGCATGAAATACTTCTCAGAAGTGCCTTTCTAAGAAAATTTCATTTCTTGCCTGTAGAAGGTACCAGTCAGTGAACTATGCCTTGGTATGACAAGGAACTACAGGAAAAACCCTGTTTCACAGGAGAGGAAGCCTCAAATCTCGCAGGTTTTGTGCTGGGTATCATACACTCTAGGGGAGGCCTGTGGTTTGAATCCACACTAACAGTGCAGTCTGTAGAATCTTTAGCTAATTGCTTTAAAGCAGAGCCAACCAGTCAGAACCAAAGACAAAACTTCTCCAGAGATATAAGAAATGATTTAAAATCCAACTAAAAAAAAGTCTCCCAAATAACTTTCTAAAGAAAATTAGGTTACACAAAGCTCAAAGGACACAAGAAAATGAGACCTCTACAAGGTATGAAAATGTCAAGCTTTGGAGACTTCAGCAAGAAATGGAGCTCAGTGAAGACATGCAACAGATGGTTTCCATGTGTTGAAAAGAAGAATTTGAAAATAGAATAAGAATAAGGGAACGGAGTTTCTGGAGAATTTCTCCATCTGGCAGTAGAGTAATATGAGAGTCAGTCATGTTTGTCAACCCAGCTGGGTGAAGAGGCACCTGGGAGATTAGTTCACAGTCTAGGTGTGTCTGTGGGGTGTTTGCAGAGACTGCCAATGGTCGACCAGCAGACTGGTGGGTCATGACCCACCCTGGCTGTAGATGGCACCATTCAATAGTCCAGATACAGTGAAAAGGAGAAGGGGAAATTCAGCATGTGTTTGGTGCTTAATTCCACATGAACTTCTGCCATGGCAGGTGGACATTCAGACCCTGCAGAAGACTTCTGGGCCCTCAGACTGGTGCCATGTCCTGGATTGCTCTGGATCTGAGGCTGCCAGCTCCGTGGAGCTCTGGCCCTACAATGCACAGACAGTCTTCGTGACTCACCTGCCTTTGAACTTGCATTTCAGCTTCTTGCAAATGAGGAATAAGCTAAGCCCCAGAGGAAGCAAAACTAGGCCATGCCATGGAGGATTTCGTGTTAATGAGACGTTAAGAATAGAGGCCAGGATGGGTACAGACACACAGACAATGTAAACATTAGGTACTGCAAATGCTCCAATAAAAGCGTAACACAATAATGTCAGTTCTTGGATAAGGGTAGAAATAGAACAACCAGTGAAAAAAACAGTTGCAAGGAAGAGAAAAATGAAGCAATTGTGGATGGGTGTGGGGCTTCTTTGCTAAAAAGTTTTAAAATTAGACTATGGTAAAGTTTTCAAAACTGTAGATATTCTGAAAGTTACTGAATGACACACTTTACATGGAAGAAATTTATAGTATATGAAGCTACCCTAAAGTAGGAAGAAGGAAGGAAGGAAGAAAGGAAGGGAGGAAGGAAGGAAGGAAGGAAGGAAGGAAGGAAGGAAGGAAAAACTGGAAAGCTCCCAGGAAAAGGGGAGGAAAAGGGTCTGAGTTTGTGTCAGATCAAAGGCATTTTTAGGAAGGCATCATTTTTGAGGTAGAAGCCATTTGTTGTGATGTGGGAATGAAAGGGGAAAAACAAGTAATTGGAGAAAATAAAAAATTTAAAAATCAAATAAAATAATCTGCATGGTATTCTATTGCTCCCTGCTGGGTTGTCTCATTCTGAGTAATCATACACAAAAGAAACTGCAGTTTCCTTTAACAACAGCAGAGGGAGGAGTGCAGGACCTCAGACTGGGGTACACCCCATCTGGCCAGCACTGACAGGATCTCCCACTACTCCCCCTGATGTGCTGTGCTGTGGTCCAGATGTGACTACTCCCTGACAATACACATCCTGGCCCGGCACTGGGATGGCTGAGGAAAGAGAAGGGGTCAGCTCTTCCGTGTAGGCCCCAGGCTTCCTTGACATAGTCATTGCTCTATACAGAACCTAAGACCACCTGGCTTGTACCAGTTTGGAATGTGGGCTGTCTGGAATGCAAGACCCAGCTGTGAGGACCCAGTCAGTCAGTGCCTGGGGAGAGGAAGAAACCAGGGTCTTCTTCGGACAAATGGCAAAGCCAGCCAGCCACAGATGTCAGGACAGCAGTGCTCCCCAGAGCTGGGAATGACGATGTGCAGTCGGTTCCCTGCGTATGTACAACACTTTCAAGTGTGTGTCCCTGCACACATGATCTGCATGTGGGCTTCACTGTCTGCACCTCAACTAGTGGGAGAAAGGGACAGAAACTGACACCCTCCTCCCTCTGCTCAAGGTGACCTCACAGAGGAGCCCCAGATGAGGTGAATGCAAGCCAGTGTCCCCAACGGGACAGAATGTTAGCCCCCCCTTGCAGGGTGTGCAAGCAAGTGTTCCTTCCTTTGACTGTCAGTCACTTCCACGTTTCTCCGTATAGATGTCTTAGCATCAGTGTCTGAGAGAGACGGAATAACTCCGTGGGTGCTCTGTCCCCAGAATTTCTCCTTGTTCTGAGGGTTCAAAACCGGTTAGTCCCTTTAATTTTAGGGAAATATTTAAATATTCTGGCTATAAGAAAATTTCCTTTGAAGGAAAATTTTTCTTTGAAGTACACAACAAGTTCTTGCCAATCGATTTTCAATCTACTAGTTCCCATCTGCAAAAAGGAACATTAAAATGATTTGCGTCTAGTTTATAAGATGAAAAAAAAGGGGGGGTTGTGCTGCTTGAGGTCAGCAGGAGACAACCTTGACCTCCTCTCCTGCCCTGTTCAGGAGGAAAACCAAAGGCAGAGAGTGAAGCTGAGCCAGGGAGAAGACACATATGTCCGTGGTTTCAAACCACTCAACCTACCTTAATTGATTCTGCAGCAATAGAACACTGATAATCCTTACACAGGCTTCATTTGGCTTCTCTGTGACAGGATGCTCTCCAAACAGCCTAGCTAATATCCTGGGAAAGACAGTGGGGTTTTATTTTTAATCTGTTTCATTGAGGAGGCAGTCACTGATCAGCTATTGGTTGCCAGGCACTGTTCTAGGCACTCACTGAAAAGTGAGTGATGAACAAATCCCATATCAGAGATGCAATGAATACAGTTATCTGCAAGTCAGAGAGTGGGGAGGTGTCCTCGTGAATGTTCAGCAGAGAGGTGTTGTGTCTGGCACAGGGTATGAGAAAGGTCATTCTGAGAGTGTAACAGGGAATTGCCAAGAGCCTCAGGAGGGAATTTGTGCAGCAGTCATGTCCCTGTGGGATGACAAGACAGGTTTATGAGGTATAATAAAAAATCTTCCACTAAAGGTTAATTTTTAAAAACTTGTTACTCCAAAAGACATATTGCCATTACCCCCCCAACCCTCCCTTCATTTGAACATGCTGATCCCCCATTCTTGCCACTTTCTGAAGCAGCTCTGGAGTCCTCTTTCATGAGTGTCTTGTGATACTTGCCTCAATGTCCTGGATCGATTGAAAATATCTACCTTTCAGCTTCAGTTTGATGGGGGGGGGAAAGTCCAGAAGTTGCACGGTGCCAAACCTTATGAATCAGGGCAGGAGGACACTATGGAAGGCTTTTACCAGTCTGCCTTTCTCCTGGGTGGTCCTTTGCAGCACCATTTGCTGTTTTGTTTGTTTTTTAATCATACTTTGCAAGGACACTCAGAATAAGACTCCAGAACTGCTTCAGAAAGCAGCATGAGTATGTTCAACAGGAAAGGAGGATTTTTAAGGGAATTACTGGCAATGTGTCCTTAACGCAATATATTTTTTAAAAAATGTAAACATTCACTGTGTGTTTTGGTCACACCTCATCAGGAGCTAAGCCTACAGCCTGACAATGCTTTCAGGTTTCACTACAAAACAGAAGGAAAGGTAAGGGTTACTGGTAGGAATCGCAGAGGGCAGAGATCTTAAGTTCAGGAATTTGGAAAGGTCTAAAGTGTAAAAGGCCCAAAATCAAAAACAGATTCACTGAGAGCTGCAAAATAGGAGAACAGGAAGTTTT